TGGGTACCCCACAGGGCCACAAGTCCTACCAAGAATACCTGCTCCACCGTGGGCTCCTCTCTCCATGGGTCACCAGGTCCCAGCCAGGACCCTACTCCATCCTGGGCCTCCCATGGGGTCACAACCTCCTTTGGGCATCCACCTGCTCCAGCATGGGCTTCTCCATGGGCTGTAGGTGGATCTCTGCACTCCTGTGGTCCTCCATGGGCTGCAGGGGGGCAGTTGCTCCACCATGGGCTGCACCATGGGCTGCAGGGCAACCTCGACTCTGGTGCACTCTTAAGCACTCCCTCCCCCTCCTTCTCCACTGACCTTGGTGTTTGCAGAGATGTTCACATGTTCTCATTCTACTCTTCTCTGGCTGCAATTTTCGATGCACAACAACTTTTTTTTTTTTTTTCCTTTTTCAAAAAGTTATCACAGAGATGTTACTATCATCCCTGATTGGCTCAGCCTTGGTCAGCGGTGAGTCCATCTTGGAGCTGTCTGACATTGGCTCTGTTGGATATGGGGAAAGCTTCTGGTAGCTTCTCACAGAAATCACCCCTGGTAGCCCGTCTGCTACCAAAACTACCCAAGCAAACCAGATACAACTCCATGCAATTCCTGTTTACTAATTTTCAAGCCTCTTATGGTCTACCTTCATGGTAATTCTTTTTTTCAGTGTTTCTACCTCTTCTCCTTGTTTTGTATCATCTACAAACTTGATGAGGGTGCTTTCAATATCATTTTCCAAACTGTTTATAAAGATATTTAGTAGTATCAGGTCTAGGACTGACCCTTGAGGTACTCAGCTCCTGGCAAGATGCTAATCTGTCCTTGAACTGTTAACTACTACTTTCCAAGATTAATATCTTTGTCAGTTCTCCACCTGTCCAGTCCTCCATCCATCCAGTCCTTATCCTTCCAAATTGTTGTCAAGGATGCTGTGAGAGACCATCCTGGTCACCTTGCTAAGGCTCACAGAGATTGGTCTTTATGAAATCTCTCTTCATATGTCATTCTTTTTGTTAGTGCGAACACACAGGTGTTGAACTTGGTGAGGTCATTCAGGAGTGACATTTCATAGTCTGTGTCAGAATTAATGTGCAAAATTGTTCGTTTGGCTTTAAAAAGATCTATGAATCAACTTTAAGAATATTGGCCTGTGTCCACTAAGCATGCAATGCTCAGGAAAAGAGAAGTCACATAGCTGTCATAGACTGTGTCATAAATGGAAAATACTGAAGTAGAATTGGGAGTCTGTGAGGTTTTTTTCTGACATAATAATTGTGATGATTTAATTCTTATGTGGTGGAGAGTGCTTTCATAAAATATATAAGTAGTGTGTTACAGAATTTTTTAACTTATTTTTTTCTCAAAATTTTGATTTTAATTACCTTTAATCTTTCCTTAGTTATTACAGCTTCTTTTGAGTTTAAATATTGCATGGGTGCAAGCAAAGCTGAAGCATTTTCTGTGGCACAAACTGCTTTTAGAAGCCAGAAAAGAAGTTGTAAGCATTCATTAAAATAAAAATCTCCATTAATGGATCTGTAATTTTCCTTTATAGAAAAATGTCATACTTTGCCTAGCATATTTTACTGTGCATTTATCCACTTCTGACTTGTATCATGAGGTCTGCTTCCTTGTCCTTTGATCCTTGATTATTCTGGCACTTATTCAACATCCTGATATTTTTCTAGCCCCGTGGTCCTGAGTCACACTGTTCAGATATTTGTCTTTCCTAGCCAGTGCGTCAGGATGAAGAAGTAACACATTACCGACAATAATTCATTCTGTTTCCAGACTCATATTTGTACATAGCATTTGACTATGACTGACTCAGTGTCTTTGCCATGGCTCCATTTGTGGTCCCTGACATGCCTACTTATCTTGCAATGATGTTTAATTCATGAACGTTGAATATGACACTGACAGTATCCTCTGTCATTGTGAGAGCTACCATTTTATGCATCAGGTAAATGAGTTTCTAGACTTGCTTAATCTTTTCATTTCCAGCTTTCCTATTAGTTAGTTCTCTTTTTTTATTCCAGTGAAATTCAAACACTGCAAAGCAGCTTTCTTACTACTGTGCATTGTCTTCAGCATTACTGAGGGAATACAAGCATGATAAATCATGTCACCACAAGTTACCTTATACAGACATCATTTCTGGTTGATTTCAAGTTAGGTTGGATTTCCAGACAGTGATTTCCAGTTAGAGGAAACAATATGGTGAACTAGCCCAGATAAAATAATACACTTCATTGACAGACTATATAAGTTGATTAACCAGGTTGATTTGCACACAGTGAAAGAAGATGGAAACGTAATGTAAATTGCAGCATCTGCTTCTAACAGTATGAATGATAGTCATAACCACAAGAAGCAATATGTATATATTGGAGTGTCATTCTCTTTAGTTCAATGTCAAATAAGCTCCTGATGCTTTTGATTGTTCTGGCTTCTTGATTTTCATCAATGACTTTGCTGAGTATTTTGCCAAACACAGGAAAACTATCTGTGAGTGTATTTTCCTAAATCAAATGATGGAGGTTTTTTTAATTTATTTTGAGATAAAAAAAAATTTTGTTGTGCATTAAAAAAATATAAAAAATCCTTAGCCTATACCATTTTTCTTTGGTAAGAATTTCTGAACACTAATTAGAATTTAGAGATCATAAGTAGAAGGGCATTTTTTCTGGCATCATTTCATCTTTTAGGGTTGGAAGAAAGTAGTCCAAAGGCATTGTAGTGTTCTGCCTATATGAGAAAACTGAGATATCTCTCTGCATTTCTGTCACCCCTGTTAGCTTTACAGTGGTGAGCCATGTGCACTGATATTTTAGATTTTGTGTTCTCTTTTACGGTCTCATTAATCATGTATAGACGTTTTTAATGTTTTTGTTTTAATTATTCCAGTAAATGAACTGTCCTGTGCAGGAGCTTTCTCTGATTTTGTTGATGACATTTTTTCTTTTCTATTCAATATTAGCTGTGGCTTCATCCTAGCTGATTAAATCAGCCATCATAATATGAGCACTCTGTCCTTTAGAGGATATAGTATTTTTTTCACATGCTGTAATGCTTCAGTAGAGACCAACCAATTGCCCTTGCTAACACATTTTCATGCTGGAGGTAATTCTTTTTCTCAACAAAAATCTAGAAATATATATGTATTGCAGTTCATTCTTCCTTTGTTTTTTTTTGTTTGTTTTTTTTTTTTTAATTATAGCTCATTTGTTTTTTTCTTTTTTTTTTTCTTTTTCCCCTCAATATGTGTCAGCAATGTGTAAATCTAACAATTTACTGAAATTGTTTTCTCCACCAATGTTTTATATTGCTCAGGTTATTTATAGTGGTTAAAATATTTACTGGGATAAAGACTGTGACAAAAGAATTAAATACAGGTTCTTGGTAAAATTTTACAACTATTGAAAAACATTTTTTTCCACCTTTTACTGTATTACATGGTAATTTAGATTCCTACAGAGCTGATGTGCATTGCTTAAAGTACATTATGCTACAATGCAACATTAAATGCTTGCAAGAATTATTTGATGTAAAAAGGAAACCCTATGAGGACAGTCCATAGCTATCTGGTCTTCTGTATTCTATGTGTTCACAGTATATTCTGAGGAAGAATGCTTTCCCTTTGCATTGTTACTAAGATCTTTTGAAATCAGTCCCAGCCTATGTTCAGTACAGTAACAACCACATAATGCAGAGCCCTAAAAGTCTTCAGTTTTTTTAGCATTGACACTAGACTTAGTTTAAATGCTTGATTTGCTAAGTCCCCAGGCAGAGTGAAGCAACTCTTGGATTGTGTCTCAGCAGGGGAACAATAATCTCTTTTTTCTAAATAAATGTTCTTTTTATTCCACATATATTGTTAATTCTACTCTGGGGAAGAATTTCTGGCTGTCAATCAGCTGAACTTCAGAAAGGTTTGCAGTGTCAATCTTTGTTTAGTATTTCCACCAGAGCTGATGGCAGAATTATGTTTAGGGTTGACATTAAAACAGGAAAGACTGTAAAAAGTCTGATAATACGAGTGCTCACATTGTATTTCTACATTTTAGTTACTAGGTAAGATTTAACATTACATATCATTTTCTGATACATTTTGAGTTTGAAATGTTATTAAACAGATGGGACAAGTATAATATAAAATGTTCAGTACTTTTAATACCTTCAGTTTATCCAGTCATTATGAGCTCTTAAGCACTGTGTTTTACAAAAACAAAGGAAGGTAATTACTGAGGTGAAAAAAGGGAAGCAACTCCTCTGTAGTTGCACATCATTATTTTCTTCCAAACTACTGATACCTTTGTCCCAGATTACTGACTCTCTTCCTACAACATTTCCTTGTATTCTGAGAATATTAAATCAGAAAGCACATATTCATTTTTAGGACTTTTAGTAGGCAATTTATGAAAGGCAAGATAGCATTAGTGTGACCAGAGAATGATACTATCTCTTACCTGAAATCTTTCTCCAAGTATTTTTGTCATGTACCATGGATAAAATGTTAGCTGCCCTCTACTTCAAAAATGTTTTCTCCATATACTGCTGTCTGTAAGTGCTTTGATTACTTCGGACTGCCACACTGTGCTTTAGGTTTTCAGAACTGTTCAACTGAGAAATTGAAATGAGTGAAATTTCAATTTTGTCAGAATCCACAGTTTCTCCTGTAAAACTCCATAACATTGTTGCTTATCTTGGCTACAGTGAAATATTTAATAGTTTTCCATATATAAAACATATGAACAATAAAAAAAAACCAGATAAACAACAGATATTGCACACTTGAGATTCTGTCCAGCTGGGTTTTTTTACAAAGTGAAGATGAAAAGTACAGATGAGATGAAAGGCACAGGCACCCTTAAAAGAATGCCTGGGTGAAAACTGACAGGTAGTAAAACCTGATAAGAGAGCAATGTGAAAACTGAGAATTTGCTTTCACTCTTACAGACGTACTATTCATATTCATGTTGCATCTAATATTTGTCTTTCAGAAATCCAAAATCTCCACTTACGACAAGATGTGGGCCTTCATGAGTAGCAGGAGGCAGTCAGTACTTGTCAAAAGTAATGAAGAAGGTATCCAACGTGTGCTTACCTCTGATTATGCATTTTTAATGGAGTCAACAACCATTGAGTTTGTCACACAGAGGAACTGTAACCTAACACAGATTGGAGGCCTTATAGACTCCAAAGGTTACGGCGTTGGAACTCCCATGGGTAGGTGATATGTCAACCATTTGTTCTCTGTTCATTAATTTTAGTTGCTGTAGTAGCATAGAAAATGTCCAGTACACTGTTTCTGTCTCTACATTGCTAACATTTTTCCTCACTCTCTTTTTCCCACCTGGGGAAAATACATATTCTGTCAATATTTGTGGACTTTTTTGTATTTTTCAAACAGGAAAAGGTAATTACTTTATAAAAATCAGACATTTCATATGATAAATTTCTCTTACCTTCCACATGATAAATTTCTCTTACTTACCCTCCACATGCTCAACAACAACAAAAGTACTTTTTACAGCACTTTATTTTATAAAAAAATGTTTTAAAGATGTTGATATTTCTCTTTAGAGAATGAGGTCCTAGTAGTGCATTAACAAATGCTTCTATAGTGAGAGGGCTAATCACTGAGACTGTTAAAAGAGGAGGAAAGATTCCATACCATGTTGCAGACAAAACAAATATTGAATTAACCATGTGCAATATGGTTTTGCATGGCAATTCCAATCCTGTAAATATTTTCCAGTTCAGGTGTTCTTTACTAGGTACAAAACTTTAGTTGAAAGATTAAAAGCCAACTACATTTTGAAAGATGTGAGCTGAGGACCTGGCTTTAGATTTCAGAATAGATGGGAATAGAAAAGACTGTCAGTACTGCACAAAGAACCTCCTCAATACTGCAAGATTGTAATGCTGACTTCTTTCTAAGACAAATATTTATTTAAAATTTATTTTAAATAAGAATTTATCATTTTGTGATTGATGTGAATATGCTTTTATTTTGTCTCAGGTAGCTGTTACATTTGGTACTGATTTTATCTGTGTTTATAGTATACACTAAATCATTGTACGGGGAAAGTTGTGTCCAGTACCTTAAGTCAAGCACATGGTAAGGAAGCTTAAGAAATAAACTTTACTGGAGTATCTCTGACAAAGTTATCTAGTATCATCAAATACAAATTTAACTATATGTTGTATATGTTTACTTCTACTGTAATACCATCTTTGTAATTTTCATTATTTCAGTAATTATTTCTATGAAATGGACACCTGCTGAAGAAATTATGATTCTATTAATTCTGTCTTTGAACAGCTAGTTTTTATTTATACCAATTTTTTCACCCTGTTCTATTGTGGCTCTTGTATTACCGAACATATTCTGTAGATCTGTAAGTGCCAGAAAGGATGGAACTTCAGTTCTGCTGCTCTTTTTGGTATCTTTTATTTTCTGATATACGAACCTTTTGTTATTTTGAGGGTGAAAACCACCTTACATTTAGGTTTAGTGTGGAGACAATAAAATCTTAGTGATAGTTTAAAATCCTTGAATAATCCACATGCAAATTTTTGAAGCAACTGAAGCATGCCCCAGAAACCTAACTGAATATGGAAATGCTGAACTGATAGGAATCAGGGAGACCAAGCTACTCTAGAAATTATTTTGTTTATCTGTAAGTCAGAGAATAAGCATAAGGGAAAAAAGATTTAAAACAGTGATAAATTCAGAAACAGAATTCTAGAGTTTAAGTATAGAAGATTAAAAGTTGGATGTAAAGAGTCAAGGAAGTAAGTAAACTGTCTTTTGGTTTTTGTTCCCTACTTTATTCGGGGAGAGTAGGCACTGTGTATGCACTTTTTCTTCACTTACTTTGAATCATATCAAAGACATTATTCAGCTCATATTCCTCTACAAGATTCCACATAAGTTATCTGTGTCAATACTGTTGTACAAGGGCATATATGAGCTGACAAATGTTTTTAATCAAGATGAAAAAAATAGAGGACATACCTGCAGGAATCATATATCATCAAAGGAGGTAAAACAAGAGTTGAAACAGTGTTGAACTTAGCAAAAGAAGTTGAAGTAGGATCTGAAAAAAAAGATGAGAGTTTCATAAAGGGAAATAGAACAGAATCTAAAATAAGATGCAAAGTAAGGCTTTTCACAAAAGAAATTAAGAGAGAACAAAACAGCATCTGGGACTTTCCCAGAACAGCTTAGTACAAGAGATTAATCCAATATTTGGACAGTATCTATAAAATGCTATTGAGAGAACTGACATTTATAATGGCTTTGTATCCTGTGTATTAGCTTCACAGTCTCCGAGGAAAGAGATCGTGTAGCCTCTGCTAGAATTATGCATAGTTCACATATACAGTTGAAAGGAAACATTATGAAGAAGTATATCCATACTGTCTGTCAGAATAGTTTTTCTTAGCTTTATTGAAGCTAAAAAGCCTTACAGAGCAGTGGATAATGCAAAATATTCTCATGCATTATAGCTAATCTCTTTTCTACAGGAAAAAATAATTCTAGAGTCTTTAAGAGAACTTATGACATGGTTATATCTACAGAAGTAGATTACATCATTATTTACTGATTAGGGAACACATTTATAGACATACAGTTGAGTAATATCTTTTTAGAGTTAATAATCCTAAGAGTAACTTGTCAAGTGCTTGGAAAACTGCAACGTAATGGCTTTACATGCAAAGTATATATTATTGCTTGTGCCTAATTGGGAAGCAACATAGGTTTAAATTTGTAGAATAAAGTTGTTATGGGCCTTATGTTGACTACAGTAAAAGGGATATGGTTACTTTTGGAGAACAGCACAAAAGGAAGTAGGTGCAACATATCTTGATCATTTTGAAGGCAAATAGAATAATAGTTAGTGAGAATACAATTTGCTTCAGTTTAAGTAACTAAAAGAAAAAGAACTAATAGCTTTCCTAGCAGAGAAAGATGCTACCAGAGTAGTTTATGACAGTATAATCACCTAGAAAATACAACCACCCAACTATAGAACCAACTTAGAGTACTGCACTAAATGCTCTCTGCTCATGATGTTAGTGTTTTAAACTCAGAGAAAGAAAGCTGCAGAAGATTAGGAGAAAACAAACCCAGAAGATCAGGCAGCGAGTGGGTATCAACTCCTTCCAAACAAAATGGAGAAGCAAAATATGAGTTTATGCTTTATTTTAATCCTTCTAAAAGCATTAGTGAAGTATACACAGTTTAGATTACTAAAATGTAGCTATGATGAAGGAAGCTGGAAATTATGTACTTTTGGCACAAAGTTGGATCAGCAGAATCAGTGTACCCCTAAAATCAACAAGATACAGTGATGTTTAGAATATGTGCAAGACAGCATTCTGCATGATATTTTAGCAGCAGAGAAAAATAAACTATAGAGAGTGAATTTGGTAATTTGTGCATACAGTGAATGATTCTCATGATACACATTTGTAAATTAAAAGACTTGTATATACTTGTATCTCCTCTGGTGCTAAGCTAGAAAAAACTTGATTTATAATGAAAAGAGAAGGAAAAAGCAGACCCGGGATGAGACATCTGATAGCAACTTATCCTTTGGAACAGATAAGGGAGAACATTTGTTTGGGTTATTTTTATCTTCCAGAAGGGGTTTTTATTTTCTTTATTTTGGCATGTTTTATTAGAAGGTACTATTTTTCTGATCCTGCGTTCTTTACCAATGAATCTGGCAGACAGGAAAATTTTGCCAACATGGCAAACATGCTGCCATGTTGTCAACATGCTGTATAGTTGATTTCTAATTTCTAATATATTCTAATAATATGGATATGTATCATGGTTAGTTATCCATTAGAAGTACATATAAATATCTTTTAGCAATTGGAATTTGTCTTTGTGTGGGCATACATGTCACCATCCAACACTGATGTTCAAGGGAGGAAGGAGGGGAAGGGAGAGGAGGGAAAGAGGGAAGAAGAAAAAGAAAGAAAGAAAGAAAAGAAAGAAAAGAAAAGGAAAGAAAGAAAGAAAGAAGGAAAAACAGAGAAAGAAAAGAAAGGAAAGAAAAGGAAAGAAAGAAAGAAAGAAGGAAAAACAGAGAAAGAAAGAAAGAGAAAGAAAGAAAAAGAAAGGAAGAAAGAAGGAAAAAGAAAGAAAGAAAAAGAAAGAAAGAAAGGAAGGAAGGAAGGAAGGAAGGAAGGAAGGAAGGAAGGAAGGAAGGAAGGGAGAATAAATCCTTTGACTATGCAGAGTAACTTATGCTTTCCACTATGGATCCTCTAAAATGTTACTTATCAACTCGTTTCAATTTCCTATTTCTTCATCATGCCTGGTAGAGATGTTTAAAATTTGGTTTGTTCCCGAATAAAGCCCAGTTGGGATAAATTTACCATTGCAGAGGATTCCTAAATGTTTATGATATATGCTTATGGTCTTCCTATCAAATTGTAGAATTTTTTTTAGAGCAAACCTACTCTATCCAGCAATATACATTTCCTGCCGTACTGAAACATGGTTAGTGTGACTTTCCTGTGGTCAACATACTGTAAAACACAGTAATATTAAATGACAAATGAATACTTATTAAAGTCTTTGTTACTATGAAGTGAACCTCATGAAAGGCTAGAAATGTAGTTTTTGTGCACTTTATATTAAGGCCTTAATGGTCTGCAAGGCTGTTTTTCACAAACATTGTTGAAATCATCTCTAGGAAAAAAAACATGGTTTCCGGTACTTCTTTCTTTTCAAAATTCCTATTTTTCATCAGCATGTTTGACATCAAGCTACTTTCCATCTGACTTGGGCAGATTTTCTACTCAATTGCCATCCGCTTTTATACTGAACCTGGAGCTTATAAATGGCTGACCAGTAAATATGTCGAACCCATTCCATATAAATAGATCTACTGAGCCTGCACCTTTCAGATGATCTGTGTTTATGTTGCAAATAAGGGCTATCCTGTATATACCAGACAAAAATTCTGTATGTGCGCAGATGTATGCAAAGTAATGCCTTTGACATTTTGAAAATGAAAATGTGTAAGTAATCCTAAAAATTTGCATATATTTCTTCTAACTCCTAAGAAATACAAAAATAGAAAGTAGTGTTTGAGAGATATGGTGCATATAAGAAATTATATCTAGTCATTTATCTAATGTTTCTCTGTGATTGCTGAGCTGTGGAAAATTACAGAATTTGTTGAAGACAGGGATTCTGT